ACTACTTTAGGTTTTATGAATCTTGATTTATGAAGTAAAGGTGACCAATAAGTGAAATTGTTCCGCCCTAGCATCCATTTATTGTTTGAATTCTCAATCACTTTTCGTTACATCCAATCGCATTTTTAAGTATTTAAAATAAAAATCACATTTAATCATTGTTTTTGTTTATTTTCATCAAATAGAAGTTAGAAATAATAAATTGAGCATTAAAAGAATAGCCCTCATGGGAACGATAATCCGGACTCAAAAGGTCCACTTTACTACTTGTTACGATCCGTTCACTTGCGGGATAAAATCGACAACAAGTTTTTGGCGCCGTTGCCGGGAACTATTATTTTTAGTTTTAATTTATTCATTTTACTTATTTTATTTTATTTACAGAAAACTGTGTTCGTTGTATGCTCCGTGCCCAAGGCGATGATCTTGAACCGTTTGATTTGAAAATAGAACGTACTTTAGATGAAGACGCAGGGAACACAAACAAAAATAGCAACATCAAATGGCTGATAATCTAAACAATCCTATCCTTATATAGTCAATTGGACAAATGGCCGCGAGAGCTCAACAGCAAGAGCAAAGGGAAGTAAACAAAGGGGACTTGCCGTTTCTATGTTTTTGACGCCTATAACAGCACCCGCGCGGTACAGCATAGTAAATCCAGATTTTGGGGTAAACAACTTCCAGATACAAGCTGATTGGATTAATTTGATGAGCAACACTCTACAACTCTACGGGTTACCTCATGAGAATCCAAACACACATATCTCAAGGTTTCTCAAGAATTGCCAGAATTGTCATGCTCCTGGGGTTAATGAGGACGCCATCAAGCTACGATTATTCCCATATACACTGAGAGTTGTAGCATTGGAATGGCTGGATGCCGAACCGGATGGAAGTATTACCACATTGGAGGAACTAACTAGGAAATTTTGCAATAAGTTCTTTCCACCTGCTAAGGTGGCAAAAATCAGACTGGAAATTCAAACCTTTCAACGAAAAGATGGGGAGAGCTATCACGAGGCCTAGAACATATTTAAGGAGTTGATGAGGAAGTGTCCAAATCATGGGATCACTATTGGAAATCAAGTGCAGTATTTCTATACGGGACTTTCACCATTATCCAAATCTCAAGTGGATTCCTCTGCAGGCGGATCGATTATAGGGAAATTAGTGCAACAATGTATGGATCTGTTTGAGTTGATTGCTACTACCCATTTCATATTTTCATCAGAAAGAGTGGTGCCTCCAAAAGCAGCGGGAATTTATGAATTAGACAGCACAGCATCTACCAACGCCCAGATAGTAGCATTGACCAAACAAGTAGAGTTATTGGTAAAGTCACAAACAAAATGAGCACATGCAGTGATAACTGGACCATCCTGCGAAAACTGCGGAGCAAATCACCTAACAGAAAATTGCACATCTATGGGATTTTCGGAAGAACAAGTCAATTTCATTCAAAATGGCTCTCGAAATTTTAATCCCTTTTCACAAACATATAACCTAGGATTGAGGCAACACCTAAACTTCAGATGGTCGGATAATCAGCAAGGGAGCAGTTTAAATAATAACCAGCCAGAGAAAAAACCAAGTTTGGGGGAGATGTTCAACCAATACATGCAGAAGATAGACAAGGTGTTCCAACAGATTGACACTAACTTTCAGAATCAGCAAGCATCCATTAAGAAGCTGGAAACTCAAATTGGACAGATAGCTCAACAGCTTGCAGAACGACCACGAGGGACATTGTCAGGCAACACAATGGTCAATCCAAAAGAGCAAGTGCAAGCTATTACAACTAGAAGTGGAGTGCAAATTCCAAAGATACATGTGAAGAGACCAGATAGAAAAGACAAAGAAGTAATGGGTGAAGAAGTTGGGACAGAAGCAGAGTCTGAACAACCAACTAACGAGGAGGATAAAAGGAAAGAAACACTCACAGTGAGAGCACCCAGCCCCTGAAAGCTTATGTACCACCAATTCCCTTCCCTCAAAGGTTACAGAGAAAGAAGTTGGACAAGCAGTTTGCCAAGTTTGTGGATTTTCAAGAAACTGCATATCAATATTCCGTTTGCAGATGCAATAGCCCAAATGTTCAGTTATGCAAAATTCTTGAAGAAGATCCTATCTAACAAAAGGAAGCTGGAAGAACATGAGACTGTCTGCCTAAACGAGGAGTGCAGTGCAATTCTATTGAAAAAGCTACCTCCTAAACTAAATGACCCAGGGAGTTTTACAATACCTTGCACAATTGGTTCTAACTATTTCGAGCATTCTTTATGTGATTTAGGTGCCAGTGTTGATTTGATGCCCCTCTCTGTTTACATGTCTCTTGGATTAGGAGAAGCAAAACCTACAACCATTTCTTTGCAAATGGTTGACAGATCAATCAAATGACTGAAGAGGATTATTGAAGATGTGCTGGTCAAAGTTGATAATTTTATTTTTTCGGCTGATGTCATCATTTTGGACATGGAGGAGAATTCAAACATCCCTCTAATATTGGGAAGACCCTTTTTGGCTACAGGAAGATGATTCTTCGGGTGGACAATGAGCAAGTTATATTCAACATGTTTAAGGCGATGAAACATCCACTGACTTTAGACACCTGTTGCCAAGTAGATATTCTTGAAGAGTTGGTAGCAGATACATTTGAGACAGAGCATCAAACAGTTCTTTGTGAAGAAGAAATTGCACAATGGGGAGCAACAAGTACAGAAAAAACTGAACGTGTTGTCAACTTGGTTAAGCAACCAATAGGAAGAAGACATTGGTAGTATGAATCTCTTGGTGACAACCCTTCACCCCCAGTACCTTCAGTAGAAAATGCACCCACTCTTGAACTAAAACCCTTACCTTCACATCTCCGTTATGCATAATTGGGAGAATCTACAACACTTTCGGTAATCATTGCAAATGACATGACAATGGAAGAGGAGAATAAATTGTTAGAGGTACGACAATTGGATGGACAATAGCTGACATCAGAGGAATAAGACCAACTCTTTGAATGCACAAGATTTTAATGGAGGACGAGTCAAAGCCATCAGTGGAAGGACAACGCAGATTAAATCCAACTTGAAAGAAGGAGTGCGAAAAGGAGAATAAATTGGATGGACAATAGCTGACATCAGAGGAATAAGACCAACTCTTTGAATGCACAAGATTTTAATGGAGGACGAGTCAAAGCCATCAATGGAAGGACAATGCAGATTAAATCCAACTTGAAAGAAGGAGTGCGAAAAGAAGTGCTGAAATTATTGGATGCATGTATTATCTATCCAATCTCTAATAGTTCATGGGTGAGTCCAGTGCATGTTGTGCCAAAAAAGGGTGGAATCACAGTGGAGAAGAATGAGAACAACGAGCTGATACCAACATGGTTAGTGACAGGGTGGAGAGTATGTATAGATTACAGAAAGCTAAACAATGCAACCAGAAAGGATCATTTTCTATTGTCATTCATTGATAAGATGTTGGAGAGGTTGGCCGGTCATTACTGCTTTTTGGACAGATATTCTGGGTACAATCAGATAGTTATTGCTCCAGAAGATCAGAAGAAAATAACCTTCACATGTCCCTATGGAACTTCTGCGTTTAGAAGGATGCCTTTTGGTTTATGCAATGCACCCGCAACCTTTCAACGGTGCACGATGGCCATATTCTCTGACATGGTGAAAAAATAAATCAAGGTATTCATGGATGATTTTTCTGTGTTTGGAGATTCATTTGATGACTGCTTGGATCGGTTGGCTCTTGTATTGCAAAGATGTGAAGAGAAGAACCTAGTGCTAAATTGAGAAAAATGTCATTTCATAGTAAAAGAGGAGATAGTACTGGGCCACAGAATTTCCTCAAAGGGCATTGAAGTTGACAACGCCAAAATACAAGTGATTGAAAAATTGCAGCCTCCTAATTCAGTTAAGGGGATCAAGAGCTTCTTAGGACATGCAGGGTTTTACAAAAGGTTCATTCAAGATTTTTTCAAAAATTACAAAATCTGTGTAATCTATTGGAGAAGGATGTGCCATTTCACTTTTTGGATGAGTGCTTAAATGCCTTTAACACTTTGAAAGAAAAGTTAACTTCTACACCTGTAATAGTAGCACCTAATTGGGATCTACCTTCCAAACTTATGTGTAATGCTAGTGATTTTACAGTGGGAGCGGTGCTTGGCCAACATAAAGGCAAAGTGTTACATGTAATCTACTATGCTAGCAAACCCTTGACAGATGCTCAGATCAACTATGCAAAAACGAAAAAAGAGATACTAGTAGTGGTCTTTGCCTTCGACAAATTTCGTTCCTATCTGATTGGTTCAAAGGTGATAGTCTACACTGACAAGGCAACATTGAAATATCTGTTTGAGAAGAAGGATGCTAAACCTAGGCTGATTCGATAGGTTCTATTACTGCAAGAATTTGAAATTGAAATTCGTGACAAAAAGGTACAGAAAATCAGGTAGCAAATCATTTTTCAAGGCTGGAACAACTGCGTGATTCAAATGATGTGGATATTAATCAGGTCTTCCCAGATGAGCAATTATTACAGATAGAAAAGGCTCCATGGTATGCCGACATTGTTAATTACTTAGCTAGTGGCTATATGGATCCTGATCTCACCTATCAATAGAAGAAGAAGTTGCTTCATTAGGAGATGATCCAAATTTATACAGAAGAGGGGCAGACCAGATCATTAGGAGATGTGTGCCAGAGGATGAGATGAAACCTATCATTATGCTTCGACTTATGGAGGACACTTTGGCCCCACTAAAATAGCAGCAAAGGTGTTTCAATGTGGTTTCTTTTGGCCTACATTATTCAAGGACTGCCACAATTTCTGCAGATCATTTGTTAAATGTGAAAGAACAAGTAACATATCAGTGCTGCATAAGTACGAGGTACAACATCGAATTGCCAATTCTTACCATCCTCAGACAAGTGGACAGGTGGAAACCTCGAACAGACAGTTGAAAAGAATTCTGGAGCTTACTGTGAATGCATCTCGTAAAGATTGGTAAAAGAAATTAGACGATACTTTATGGGCATATCGTACTGCTTACAAGACACCTATCGTGATGTCTTCATATTGATTAGTCTTTGAAAAAGCGTGCCACCTACCAGTGGAGTTTGAACATAGAGCATACTGGGCATTGAAACAATTAAACATGGACCTTGAAAAGACTGGAGAAACAAGAATACTACAGTTACATGAATTGGAGGAATTTAGAAGAGAAGCTTATGAGAATATATCCATCTACAAGGAAAGGACAAAGCAGTGGCATGACAAGAACATTAGGCAACGAATTTTCAGAGTGGGAGACCAAGTGCTCTTATACAATTCTAGACTTAAACTGTTTCCAGGAAAATTGAAATCTAGATGGTCCAGCCCTTTCACAGTCTCTCAAGTGTTTCCCTACGGCACAGTTGAATTACACCATCCAACAAAGGAAAACTTCAAAGTAAATGGCCAACGTATCAAGCACTACGTGAAAGATTTTCCCACTACTAAAGAGAGCCTTGACCTAGCTGTATCAGAATAATAGCAGCACAAAGTCCAGCTAACGACTTAAAAGAAGTGCTTATTGGGAGGTAACCCAATTTTCAAACTTTTTATTTTGTTTTTCGCATCGCATAGCATATAGTTTTGTTTTGTTTACTAGGTTACATTAGATTTAGGCACGTTTCAATTTTTAGGAGTCATCACCCATATTTTTTATACCCTCATGCCCTTGAATTTATTGTTGGTTATTTTGATTATTTGAGCTAAGTAACCCTTGTTCCCTGTTTAGTCAAATTTGATTTTTCAGGAACATGACGTCATGAAACACTCAAACCAATATAGATCCAAGGGAAAGCATGATGAAGAATATTATCCAGTCATCACACATAATGCCTCACACATTCAACAAAAAAAAAATTTGGGGAGTACCTTCTTCTTTTTCTTCCCTATCCCCTTTATGTGATTATTTATATTTTATGACATTGAGGACAATGTCAATTTTAAGTTTTGGGGTGAAAAAAACTTTTAGTTTTAGTTTTTTATTTTTATGTTTTTGTTTTTAAAAAAAAAAACCCTTTTGTTCAGTTGTGTGCTTGTGTGGGTTAGACAGTCTGGCAGACAATGATGATTTAATTTGAGATTTAGTGTTGACTTATGAACTATGGACAAGATGCATACTAGACTAATTGAGTCTCAACCTTGCAAAATTTGATATTACAAGCGCACTAGAATTGAGTTTGATATTATGATTAAATGAGTTGTTTTTTGCTTTGGATAGGTTGATCTAGTTAGACATAGATGGTTTACCTAAACCATATTAAATTATCTATCCTTAGACCAAATTTAGTATAGTTTGGGGGTGACTTTACAGTTGTAAGAAGATTCGGATGTGAATGTAGATTTCATGTGTGAAAACTTTTGTGTGGATTGTCTTAGATTAACATGATAAAACTTTGTGAAAGTCTTAAGTTAGAGGTCAGTTAGTTTGAATAAGTGTGTGATAAAGGGCATTGCACTAATCAAGGCATATACATTTGAAAATTTTAAACTTCTCTCTGAAACCTTTATGACCCGAGTGATTAAGTCTGTAAAGGTGTCTTAAAATTTGGTGCTCTAAAGTTGTCTGACTTGGAAGTCATCGGCCTAAAGCTCGTTACAAGGGTCATTTAGAAAGCAATTAGAGATGAAGTTGCACTATAAAAATAAATAAATAAATAAATCTTGTTCTCTTCGAAGCCTTCTTGACTTGGATCAATAAGCCTGTAAGGGTATTTAAAAACCCTGTGCCCTAAAATCATTCGATTTGGGAGTCGTCGGCCTAAAGCCTGCTACATGGGTTATCTAGAAAGCTTAATGGAGAGAATATGTATAAAAAAAAATGTGAAAAACAGAAAAAGCAAGTGCATGAAAAGAGCTAAAGTACTAAACATCTTGATTAAGCCCTAACACTTATTTGAGGGAATTCGACTTTTGATGCAAGATAATTAGCTAATTGAGTCTTGGAAGTCGAAACAATCAAATAATTGGAGAATTCCTTGTTCACTAAAGTGTTGACTTGCAATTAGTAACGTCCACCTAAACTCGAAAGGGTGAGGATAGTAATGAAATTTTTAGTCGTAGATTACACACTGGAAAAGAATGAAAAGGAATAAGTTTGGGGGTGTGTGAATCTTATGAGTGATGAAAGGATATAGATGACCATTAAGGGTCGGGAATTGAAACAATTTGTGCAGTCATGGTTGATTACTCGATTCTTCACACACACGTCAATTTTTGCATTGGAAGAGTGGATATTAGTTTGGTATTGTCACTTTGAAGCATGTTTATAGAGTAAACACTAAATCTTGAATCCTGAGGTGAGAAGCTAGATTGTCCAACCGAATATTTTTGTATGCTTGTGTGTTAATTATTATTTATTTATAGTTTTGTTTGAGGACAAACAAATGTTTAAGTTTGAGGGTATTTGATAAATGTATTTTATACACTTATTTGATGCCTAAAATAATGATGTTTAATAGTTCTTTTGACAAAATATATCCTAAATTGTTATATTTTATGTTTAATAGGTAAATTCTATGGATGGAAAAAGGAATTGAAGGAAAGAAACAAAAATTGACGGAAAATGGCAAAATTCAAAGTATGAGGACTACATTGCATTAACTTGAAAGATTGGATGGCTTGATGGAAATAATAAATTAATTGGGCTTTAAGTGGATGTGGAATTGGAGTCAAATTGTATAATTAATTGAGGTTTTAATGGGATTCCAACAGGATTTGGTGGGCAGTCTAGAGTCATTTTTAAAGTAAAATATTGGACTGCTAGGTTAATCTTGTGCTGGAGGAATTAAAGGGGCGGCCAATATAAATATATGTGCAGACCTAGAAAAAAAAAGGAGAGAGCCGATGGGGAGAAAATTGGACTCCAATTTGGAGTCAATTATTGCAGCTCTAACACGCAGAAAACCAAGAAGAGGAATAAAAGCTGACAACCTCAGTTGTCATTATATTTACACACACACAATTAGACGGCAGCTTGGTAGGCAGAATTGAGGAGACTCCACCTGGGATTACAATTAATTGGAGGCAGCAACTTTGAGAAGAATAATTACACGCCTGTTGGGTGTTGAAATTAATCTGAAAACACACAGAAATTCAACCGACTATTTGAGGAATTAATTAGCAGTAGCTTAGGTTCTCTCCAAAGTCAATTATTGCGGCTGTTAAGAGATTGAATTGGTAGCAGCAAGGCAGTGGACGGCTAGATAGAAAAAGGGTAAACGGTAGATTTACTTCAAAAATTATTAATGTTCCGCCAATTCCCGGTGATGTCTTCCATAATTTCTTATTTTTTCTTCCATTATTATGAGTAGTTAAATTTGATTTTAAGGCAAACAATGTAATCTTTTGGAACCCTTTATTTCATACAATTGAGATTCTAGTGTTTTTATATTTTATGTGTTGATTTTAATGTTGTTCTTAATGTATTTAATTACTTGATCACTAATTAGATGATTTGTGAACAATGTTTGCGTAGAGATGCGGATTATTTGTTTAGACCATATGTTAAAATTCGGTAAATTGATATAACGCGTAGAGATACCTATATTGATTGTTGCGGTCGTGTGTGAATTCTTAGAACCAATGTTTCGTTCAATTAAATTTAATTTGCATAGAGATATGGAATTAAGCTAATTAAATAGGCTCAGCGAGAACTCGAGAGGGGTAAGTTGAATACAATAGAAGAATTCGACCGAACACTACTTTAGGTTTTAGGAATCTTGATTTATGAAGTAAAGGTGACCAATATGTGAAATTGTTCCGCCCTAACGTCCATTTATTGTTTGAATTCTCAATCACTTTTCGTTGCATCCAATCGCATTTTTAAGTATTTAGAATAAAAATCACATTTAATCATTGTTTTGTTTATTTTCATCAAATAGAAGTTAGAAATAATAAATTGAGCATTAAAATTATAGTCCTCGTGGGAATGATAATCCGGACTCGAAAGGTCCACTTTACTACTTGTTACGATCTGTTCACTTGCGGGATAAAATCGACAACAAGTTTGCCGAATGGCAGAAATGTAGCGCCTGCCTGAATCGACAGAAACACAGAGCCCAGGCGCTGTGTTCTCGGCGCCTAGGCACTGTGACCCCCCTACATATATTTTCTTTTTATTTATTTTTACTTATTTTCTATTTCTTATAACCTCTTGTCCTCTCCCTTCTCATATTACGTAATTTACCCAACCCTACTCCCTCTCATCTTCTTCCCCAATACCCTTAAGTTTACTTATTTTCATCTCCTCCTCAACCCTCCCAAAGTACCCACTTTCCCTCTCTTTCCTTATTTAATTTTTTTCTTTGTTGATTTTTTTTTTCTTCCTCTTTTCACGTCACCCACATCACAATTCTTTCAATTACACATATTCTCACCCCCCCCATCTCCCTTGTTGTTTTCAACATTTCATTGTTGCAAAGTGTGAATTCATCCATTCCTATTAGTTTCCACAGCACCATTTCAAGTATGGCTTTTTTTTTCTCCCTATTTTTTTTCTCTCTTACATGATAGTTGATGCTTATATGTGCCTATTTTTTATAATTATGTTAAGAGGAGGGCTTGGTTTGTTGTGGTGTCAAGAAATTTGTGTATGATGCAGATAATGTGGCATGAATTACTTCTAAATTATAAGCAATTTTTTTGTGGAAATTTGGTGCCTTCAAAGTGTTTGATAGATTGCCTACGTGAATATAGTTGGGTGCAAAGGAGCTATTGTGGCTATTGTGCTAATTGACTTATGTGGGAATTGCCACGTAGATGATTGTGAATTGAAATTGGGTTTAGAATACATCTATTGCATGTCTGACCATAATCCGCCCTTATGGCTAGATTTTAAGCCCTGCCTTATCTTCCTTTACTACTGTTTTTGCTAATGGTTTCCATGTTCTACACTTGCACAAGTCCAATGCTGTCTAAAAAGAGATCAAAAGCTACAGCCTCCTCTTCTAGCTTATTTGACAGGAGCAAATTCATTAGTGTCGAGGCCGCTGAACGATATAATAGCTTGGGTGTACACAAGACCTGTATCCCTGAACGTGGTTTTGACAATTATATGACAGAGTAGATAGGTCGGCGGAACTGGGAAATGTTTGCTCGGCAACCACGACCGGCGCTAATTCTGATTGTCAGGGAGTTCTACGCCAATGAGAAGGAGCATTGATATTTCCGAGTGTTTGTGCGGGGTAAATGGATACCGTTTGATAGAACGTCCATCAACAGGTTTTATAAGTTGTAAGATATTGAAAATGACGAGTACTCTAGACTTCATGACGAGGGTGTTGATCCTAATGAGGTCATTCGAATCTTGGCCACAACTGGTACTACATGGAAACGGTCAGAGACTAATGTACTTAACTTCCCTGCTTCTGGTATGACATTGGGTTGTAAGGCTTGGCATCACTTCATTTCTGGCAAAGTTATTCCCAGTAGCAATTTAAGTGAAGTAACAAAAGAAAGGGCTACCCTCAATTATGTCATTCA